CACCTATTAGTCTAGATATTACAATAAGAAGGCAAGACTTGTTTATACTGGCACTTTGGGCAAAGTGTGTCCTTGCGTTTGCATCCTTTTTTGTTTTAAATAAGGAGATGTGGTATGATTGCCATTGAGACAACTATCCACCAGTATCCAAATGATGTGGATGTAAGCACTTACATGTCACAGTACGGCCTTTAACACTGAGCAAAACCCATACCTAATAGTAGCTATAAAATCGTTCTCTTGTAAAAAATCTGTTTGAAGTCTATGCTACATTCACTAAGTTAATTCCAATTCAAATATGGGAGTTTTATCTCCAATCTCATACTTCGACCTGATATTTTCCTCTTTACAAAAATATAAATATTTCTTACTTCAAATAATGTTCTTCCCTTCTTGATTTCTCTATTCATAATATAAAATCACTTAAGATATGCTCAATATTCCATTTAATTACAGTTTTAATTGGAGATTGATTTTACTATTATTTTACCATTTAAAGTATGTCTGTATAATTACCTGCGACTATGGATTGTATTATTCCCTAAGTTTATCATACAATGTTGAATTGAAAGAGACTATTACATATCAAAAGCACTCAATATACTTCCTTTCAATTCAACTCCATTCAAATACCTTCTCATGAAAAAGGTTCACTTTATCTTTAACCAATAATATATTATTGTATATCAATTTAAATATTTGTTTAAAATCTGTGCAAACAATAGCAAATCCAATAAAATGAAAGTCTGAGGATTAAAGTCTTTTGAGAAGGATTTCACCACATCAAATGTGGAAAGCTTGCATTCAATATGTAGGATTATCTACCGTCTCAAATCTTATTAATGATATCGTTACTTATGTGAGGTGTGCTGCTATACAGGGAAAAAACAAGGTTATCTGTTCTTGAATTCTAGAAAGACTATGTTAATACAATTACTAACTAACTTATATTAGTAATAAAATAATTCTTTTTTGTGAGTTTGATTTCATTTGGAGGAAGCATTGATATCAAGACAGATGCCATATTAAATAATAAATACTTTCTGAATAATCCAATTTTTTTGGTTAATGAGGTAGGCTAAAAGGTCTGTAGGTGATAAATCTAAAACAAAGTTTTACCATCCCAAAATCATTTTTACAACAATTTTTTTTCAGTAAGTTACCTTGGCCTTTTACTGAAAGCATAACATAAACTTAACATATCAATGATCCATGTAAATGAGGTCAAGGTCAGATGAACCCTAACAGACGGACATGTACATCTTACAATTATACCATACACCAAATACAGTTAGTATATTGCATAAAGCATCTGAAAAAACAGACCTAACTATAAAAACTAAACAATGAACCATAAAAAATCAAGTCAAGGTTATATGCACCATGCCAGACACCATATAGTTGATCATTTGCTTATAGTATCTGAGAAACAGACAAAACCATGAAAACATAACATTGACAAACAAACAATGAAAATGAGGTCAAAGTCAGATGAATCCTGCCAGACAGACATGTACACATTACAATCATTCCATACCAAATATAGGTGACCTACTCCATATAGTATCTGAGATTTAGACATGACCACGAAAACTTAATCTTGATCTCTGAAATGAGGTTGAGATTAGGTGAACCATGTCTGATGGACAAGTTGACCTTGTAAGTGTAGGATTAAATATTGTCCGCCACGAAATTATGTCCAACGGACACTTTTTCATAGTAATTTGTGTCCACGGACATAACGTCATTATGAAATATCGTCTGGACGATATTTACCTATGAAATCGTGCCCACACATGTGAAAAAGTGTCCTTCAAAGAAAGGACAATATTTCATATGAAAAAGTGTCCTTCATAGAACATGTAGAAAGGACAGAATCACGTGAAAAAGTGTCCACTCTCAATACCTACAAAATATATACAGTTCTTAATCTAAATTGAAGTTTTAAAATTAGCATGGGGGTTTTGTCTCTATTAAAACATGGCATGCAAACTGGAGTACTGAATTCATACAAAATGTGATCATCACCATGTGTAATTAAACATACATTATACAATAAAACATGTGCTAATACACACACAAACAGTAATACATTTAATAGAACTTAATATGAACTATGTGAATAATAATACATGTAATTCATTTCAATTTACAAAATCATGTAATATTCAAGAATAGTACTCATAAATACTGTTCTTCCTTCATTTGGCCTTTCTTGTTCCATTTTTGTTTATATTAAATTATAACTGGATCTTAATTGGTTTGTTTTAGTAATAGAAAATTAAATATAGCTAAAATATTTCAGTGACTTATTTATTATCTCCCTTTAAAGGACACTTTTTACTGTGAAAAAATGTCCTCTTATTAAAAATCAACCTTTAAAGGACAGAATTTAATAGTATTTTATCATGAAATTATGTCCGATTGAATGGACACTTTTTCACAGCATTGGACACATTAAAATATATCTTTTCTGTGAAAAAGTGTCCAAGTGGACACTTTTTCACAGGACACTTTTATGGTTCACATAAGGATCCCATATACCAAATATATTTATCCTATTACATAATAAGTGAGTGTTTCACATGACAAAAAAACTATACATTTTTTCAAGCAGTCGTTGATCAAATGAAAATGAGGTCAAGGACCATTGACATATATGACAGACAGAAACTTCTCAACATAAGGTATTTGGATACAAGGTATGAAGCCTCCTGGTCTTTTACCTTCTAAAATAAGAAGCTTTATACATTTACTTTACAACGTCGTCGCTGGATAGTAATCCCTATGTTTCGCAGCCAAAAACTATAATTAACTAATGACAAAACAAAAAGAAGTATTTATTTTGGTTTTAGCTTTTGATTTACAATACTTTTAAGAAGTGTCTTTGATTTCATGTTTTAATCTATCCCAAATAGTCTGACTGTCTATTTCTCTATTTTGATATTGATTTAAAAAGTTTGTAATCAAATTATTAATTAAACTTTGATTTGCTCTATTTTCTAAGACAGAGTTACTTAGTTTCCAAAAACCACACCCAAGTCCCATAACTTATGAGGAAAAACAGTCAAAATTAAAAGGTGACTTTTATCTATGGAACCAAACATATTTTACATATCAAACAAGAGGCTCTCAAGAGCCTGAATCGCTCACCTTTAATTTTTTGCTTAAATCTTTCATCAATGATTATTTTTGCTTTTCAATATATATTAATGAGTGGCTTAAAATGCCATTTAAATGTTCTTTGTATCTGTCATATTTTCTTCAAAAGCAAAAAAATGCATTTTATCCCTATGTTCCATTTTAGCCATAGTGGCTAGGTTTCTTGACGTACAAGGAAATAAAATACAAAATTTATACTAGATACTCTGAAACTCATTCAGCCCAAGTTTGGCTGAAATTGATTCAGCAGTTTCAAAGGAGAAGATATTTTAAAGAACTAAATGAACAAATTGTGAAAAATTGTCTTTGAAGGGCAATAACTCCTTCAGGGGTCAATTGAAAATTTTTGTCATATAAAAACTTATTTGTAGATCTTACTTTGCTGAACATTTTTGCTGTTTACAGTTTATCTTTATCGATAATATTTTCAAGATAATAACCGAAAACTGCAAAATTTCCTTTAAATCATCAATTCAGGGGTAATAACCTAAAAATCAGATACCCGATTTGGCTGATAATTTCAGGGCAGGTAGACCTTGACCTAATGAATACTTTAACTTCTTGTCTGATTTGCTCTAAATGCTTTAGTTTTTGAGATATAAGTCAAAAACTGCATTTTACCCTATGTTCTATTTGTAGCCATGGCGGCATTGTTTTCTGAGGAAACAGAAAATAAAACACAAACTTTATATTAGATAACCTAAGAATCATTCAGCTTAAGTTTGGTTTAATTTGGTTCAGTAGTTTCAGAGGAGATGATTTTTTAAAGTTAGAAAACATGATAAACAAAATGTGTAAAATTGTCATTAAAGGGCTATAACTCCTTAAAGGGGTCAATGGACAATTTTGGTCATTGAACTTATTTGTAGATCTTACTTTGTTGAACATTTTTGCTGTTTACAGTTTATCTTTATCTATAATTATATTCAAAATAATAACCAAAAACTGCAAAATTTCCTTAAAATTACCAATTTAGTGGCAGCAACCCATCAATGGGTTGTTAGATTCATCTGAAAATTTCAGGGCTGATAGAACTTGACCTAATGAACATTTTTAACCCTGTCAGATATTCTCTAAATGCTTTAGTTTTTTAGATATAAGCCAAAAACTGCATTTTACCCCCTATGTTCTATTTTTAGCCATGGCAGCCATGTCTTTTGACCAAACAGAAAATAAAACAAAAACTTTATTCTAGATACCCTAAGGATCATTCAGCTTAAGTTTGGTTGGAATTGGTTCAATAGTTTCAGAGGAGAAGATCTTTGAAATAGTTTACACCGGACGGACGAAGGATAACGACTGACGCCAAGTGATGGCAAAAGCTCACATTTCCTTTTAGGAAAGGTGAGCTAAACAAGGAAAATTAATTTATCATTAAATATGCTTTAAAAAGTTGACAAGCTGTTCATGTAAGTCTGGAACAATTATTAAAATTTAAAAAAGACTTCATATAGATCATTAAAATCTAAAGCAAACTTGAGTTATCACAAGAAAGGTTAAAAATTGTGCATTTTAGAATTTAAAGTAATTTACATTGTAACTCACGAATGACAATGATGTAAATTGTAAAAAACAAAAGCGAAAAATTTCTTGAGGATTCATTTGAGAAAATTTGATTTATTTTAAGACATGCTTATATGGGTAGATGTAAGAATGAGCAGATAGAGAACCAACACCTAAAATTCCAAACCTCTGGGCCAAACCAAACCTGAATTGACGACTTATAAAAAGAACTTGTGAACAAATGAACAATTCCTACCACTATATGTAGGGCCAAATGAATGGTTCATGCCATAATATGTTAGGGCAAATATAGAAATTGGAAAAATCAGATATACCATCAGTTCTTTGCCAACATGTTCCTTTAGCACTTATTGTCCTGGAAGACATCTTGAAGATTTTGGTAATAACCTGTTACATCTCAGATGGTCATGTGATCACCCTGAAAAATATATGTGTTTATGGTTGAGAAGATATTAAAAAATGTTAAAAGTAAAGATGGGCAATTTCAAAATTAAAAAATGTCGTGTGAAGGAGGGCAAAAGTGACATAGTTCTTGAAAGATATATATTAGTCATGTCACCAAAATTGCTGTGATCAACATTGTGTTCATTCTAAAAAAAAAAACAGGTTGTTTTATGAAAAGCAAATGGCATGAATAAAAAAAATGTTGGGTATACATTAATGAGAGAGATAGCAACCCAAATAAACAGAATACCAAAAAGTCATATTGAGGAAAACACACAGTCTTAAACATAGACAAGTGGCAATACCAAAAAGTCATATTGAGGAAAACACACAGTCTTAAACATAGACAAGTGGCAATACCAAAAGTCATATTGAGGAAAACACACAGTCTTAAACATAGACAAGTGGCAATACCAAAAAGTCATATTGAGGAAAACACCCAGTCTTAAACATAGACAAGTGGCAATACCAAAAAGTCATATTGAGGAAAACACACAGTCTTAAACATAGACAAGTGGCAATACCAAGTCATATTGAGGAAAACACACAGTCTTAAACATAGACAAGTGGCAATACCAAAAAGTCATATTGAGGAAAACACCCAGTCTTAAACATAGACAAGTGGCAATACCAAAAAGTCATATTGAGGAAAACACCCAGTCTTAAACATAGACAAGTGGCAATACCAAAAAGTCATATTGAGGAAAACACCCAGTCTTAAACATAGACAAGTGGCAATACCAAAAAGTCATATTGAGGAAAACACCCAGTCTTAAACATAGACAAGTGGCAATACCAAAAAGTCATATTGAGGAAAACACCCAGTCTTAAACATAGACAAGTGGCAATACCAAAAAGTCATATTGAGGAAAACACCCAGTCTTAAACATAGACAAGTGGCAATACCAAAAAGTCATATTGAGGAAAACACCCAGTCTTAAACATAGACAAGTGGCAATACCAAAAAGTCATATTGAGGAAAACACCCAGTCTTAAACATAGACAAGTGGCAATACCAAAAAGTCATATTGAGGAAAACACCCAGTCTTAAACATAGACAAGTGGCAATACCAAAAAGTCATATTGAGGAAAACACCCAGTCTTAAACATAGACAAGTGGCAATACCAAAAAGTCATATTGAGGAAAACACCCAGTCTTAAACATAGACAAGTGGCAATACCAAAAAGTCATATTGAGGAAAACACCCAGTCTTAAACATAGACAAGTGGCAATACCAAAAAGTCATATTGAGGAAAACACCCAGTCTTAAACATAGACAAGTGGCAATACCAAAAAGTCATATTGAGGAAAACACCCAGTCTTAAACATAGACAAGTGGCAATACCAAAAAGTCATATTGAGGAAAACACCCAGTCTTAAACATAGACAAGTGGCAATACCAAAAAGTCATATTGAGGAAAACACCCAGTCTTAAACATAGACAAGTGGCAATACCAAAAAGTCATATTGAGGAAAACACCCAGTCTTAAACATAGACAAGTGGCAATACCAAAAAGTCAAATTGAGGAAAACACCCAGTCTTAAACATAGACAAGTGGCAATACCAAAAAGTCATATTGAGGAAAACACCCAGTCTTAAACATAGACAATTGGCAATACAATATGGCAAGCTTTTATAGTCCAGAAAAGTTGTGAATGACAGTTCATAATAGACATATTACCAACATTTAAATAGAAATTTTGTCCCCTGCACAAAGCAGTGTGGAGGACATAAAAATACTGGGTGTCCTTCCTGTCTTGTAAGCACTCTCTGGTGATCAGTTCTCACCAGAATTTTATGAAATTTATATCACAAGTTTATATCAGCAATGTCTCGGACAAGCACAAAAGTCAGTGCATTTCAACTATCTTTTAAAGGAGTCATTAGATATAAGAAGATGTGGTATGAGTGCAAATGAGACAACTCTCCATCCAAGTCACAATTTGTAAAAGTAAACCATTATTATTCCATGCCCCTTGGAAATTTTAATTAAATAGAAAATTTCGGAGTTATGTCCCTTTGAATATAATTTATATTGAATTTTAAGCACTCTCACACCAACATATCTTGTCAAATTTAAAAAAATATATTATCTCAAAGGTTTATATCAGCTAGGTTTTTGAAGATTGCTAACCAACTATTCTTTTACAGGAGTTATGCCTCTTTAAATAGAAATTATATGGACAATAACATTATTAGCAATCTAATGCCTATGTCTATTGTAGGATATTACATGTATGAAACAGTTTAAAAGAACCAAAAACAATTTTTGGTTTGGACTAATTGTCCTTGGAAAAAAAGCATGTGTATTGGTAGGGAAAATTTAACCCTGTTCTTTTATCAAATAACTATACAAGTTCATGTTTTCATTGAAAAATAAGACCCTTATCACACATCTTTCACCTTATATTGTTTGTACACATTTTTTTATACCACTGCAATAGAATGGAATAGTGATTTTTTTGCATTGGATTTTGTCATTTGGGCATTTAATTTTTGCAGTAATAATTGGTAGTTACAGCATATTTCCTGTACCATACTTTCACTGTGATTTATCATATGCAACGACCTATACAGTTTTTTTGTTTTCATTATAGGATGATTAAATTAGAACACTTATTCACCAATAAAAATGACTTTCATATTTTTGTAGAATACTGACAGCAGGTAATTTCCCTATCTATTCCAAAAATTGACAGAGTAAATCAATATTGAATTTTTATCTTGAATCAATACTTCACTTTGATACACATACAATTATGTCATAAAGGTGTTAAACATGTCTCCAACAATGCCTTATTTGTATAAAGAGCCCTAATAACTGATAACTATCTGTCATTATTACAAAGACAGGAGACAATATAAATACTCTTCAATCTTTATTCCGCTATTTATTCAGATAACGCAAATTTACAATGTACTTCAAAAATGTCAATTATATTCAGTCATAAGGTTATCATCTCCTGACAATGTTTTATGTAGGTATGTTTAAGACTTCAGGTGTTGTTGCTATGCAGAATTATTTCTGTTGGACCATTTTTCGCATCCTAATCAAAGTGTGTTACAGCCTCTGTAGATATTATAGTTTCCTTGTCTTCATATAACTTTTATTCAGGTTGATCATTTTTTTAAATATCAAGCAATTAACATGAGCAAAAAAGGTTTTGATAGAAAAATACTTAAAAAGGGATAACATGAATTCCAGAAAACTGAAAGCACAACAGATCACACAACTCCTCCAAATATAGATATAAAAACAATAACATACGTCACATGGTACAAATAGCTTGACTTGGTACAGGCACAAAATATGATTGGGTAAACATTAAATCAGTTTCATATGAACGCAAACCTATCAATGTATTGATTTTGGGTATTTGGTCTTCCATGTTTGTTGTTTCGGAACCATGACACAAAAGCACCAAAAACAGTGTTTTTACTAGTTTTAATGTACAGCATTTATATGTCATCAGATAATCTATAATTTTTTATCTTTCTTTATTACAACCTAAATTTTTGGTATGGTCATAATTATAAATTAACTGTTTACAAAACTTTGAATTTTTGAAATACTAAGGCTTTTCTACCTCAGGAATAGATTACCTTAGCTGTATTTGGCAAAACTTTTAGGAATTTTTGGTCCTCAATGCTCTTCAACTTCGTACTTTATTTGGCCTTTTTAACCTTTTTTTGATTCGAGCGTCACTGATGAGTCTTTTGTAGACTAACAAACAAAATCATAGAAGTTTTTTTAACAAATTTTCTTGCCATTGGTAAATTTTATTTTCAATTTTATGTAGAGCTGCATTTTATATAACCAGTGCATCTTTTTAATTCTTGTTTCATCTTTTTCATTATATTTTAATACATGGTCTAAAGAGAGCCCTTTCAGCAAACATAAGTACAATTTTTACATCAACATTTTGATGCATCAGATGAAATCAGACAAATAATATCTCAAGATCTTTATAGTGATGCCCATGGCAAATATATTAAGGCATCTGAATCCTCTCTTAATTTAATCATTCAAAAGTTCCATTGAACCCTGTGTCTTGTCTGCAATTGCTGATATCAATGCAAAAGTGTAAATGTTGACTGTCAAAAGCTTAGTCCATTTATTAAAATATGGAAAAAATTTAAAACTTTTTCTTCAGATGCTATTTCTTGATGTTGAAGAAGCTTCTGTCTAAGTTTCATAACATTCAATGAAAGTTTAACAAATTTATAGATGTCTTAAAATTTTAATCACAGACTGTATGAAAAAGTTTACTGCAAAAAACTGAGTCCACAAATCAGTAAAATACTGAGAAATGAGGAATAAAAGAGCTGCGCCATGAGCACATGATACGCCCATCCCCATTTTAGCTCGAAACTTCAATAACTCTGCAATGTCATACCAGAAATTTATAAACAAGAAAATGCAGCTTATTTCAATAGATATAAACAAGCCTACAAAGTTACATGAAAACTGCTCAAGGCATTTTTGAGTTATTGTCAGAAAACTAGAAAATCCCCCCTTTTTTATGAATAAAGTCCCAAGTGTAATCCAAAATTTATAATAATCAAAAGGGAGCTTACGTCAATAGATATAAACAATTCCCCAAAGTTTCATGAAAATTGGTGAAAACGTTTTTGAGTAATTGTCAGAAATGTTGATGACGGATGAAGGTATACAATAATACGTCCCGTAAACATGCATATAAAAATATATCCATAACTTTGCTTTAGACATTATAGCCATAAAAAAGCTTTTACAAAAAATCCATAAAGGTTTGACAAAGATTTTAGTGTCTAAAAATACTGTAACCACAAACTGAAACATGATGTTGATGAGGCCAACAACAGAATGTAGGATTGCTGTATCTGGCTTCAACAACAAAATGTTGAAGGGTTGACAAAAAAGAAGTTAGTATGTATTTACATAATAAAAAATTTGTAAGGGGTTCCACGGAACCCTGTGTCTCACCTGCGA